ATATGCAATATTTTTTCCGAGTGCCTGTGTGTTTTGGCCATAGTTCACGAGGATGCGTCGCTCCTCCCCGCTGCTCGCCCTTTGGGCCAGGACATGGTGGGCAGCTGGTGTGCGAGTGCTTGTATGCTGACTGTACCATGTTTGCTGCGGAACAGGAAATGAGCACCTGCTGCTTATTTATATTTTCCGCTCACTTGAATGTAAAATTACATAATATTTTGTTTTCGTTTTTTCAGCTCCTGATGCTGCTGCTGCTTGCCACTTGTGCTAGTCTGAAAATTGCTGTGTGAAAATACTTCTAGTGGAACATTTGAAGACAGCTGGCCGCAGAGGAAAGGAGCGGAATCGTGTTGGCCTTTTAAAGAAGTTGAATCATCAGAGCGGGCCTTCTTAATTGCAAGTGTTGTTCATAAATTTAAAAGCAATTTACTTGCAGGTAGAAATAGAATCGCCTCGTTGCTACATGAAAATGTTAAATGTAAACATTTTAGATTCAAAAGTGTTTAATGGAATTTTATGAAGCCCCGAAAGAAAGTGAAAGGCCAATCATAGAACAAGCTGAATAGCTGCTAATTGAACAGATATTTTTCGACGCGGAAGCGAGCTCGGGCACGGTAACATCATTCGAAATATTAGTTAACTATTTGTTCGAAATGTTTGCATACCACGGACATGGAAGGGTTTTTACCAGCTACCAGAAAAAGTTCTCTATTTGTTGGCTGTTTCGGTTGCAATGTGGTAACCACAATGTACGTGAAGTGGCGATGGGACAGCGAACTTGCCAAATGCTCATATGCGAGTTGTTTATGTTGTCGTTTTGGTTTTTTGGTTGCTCTTACTGCTGCTGGTGCATTTGTTGTTTTGGCTGTTTTGGTGGCCGCACAACTCGTTGTGGCCCTGGCCCGCATAAATTGTTGCCGCTTTTGAGTTTAAGCCAACAGTTTGTTTGCCGGTCATCCGCCGTTAGTTAATTGCCGTTGCCGCTGCAACATGATTGCACTTATTGGTCAGCAGCATAATCAAATGCGCAACTTTTTGGCATGAAAGTTTAATTAGAAAGCTCGCATGTGCGGTGCGTAATGCGATAGGGTGGCCTCCGTTTAAGGAAAACTAATTTCAACTCATAATTAAGCCACTTGCGCTGCAAGTTGGCCCCGTAATCAGGCTTTTTCTTCAACTCTGGCTCATTAAAAACAGCAAACAAACCGCTCTCACCTTACACAGTTGCCGGGATATTTTATATAATTTCTTCGCCCGACACCGACTCTCAAATGCATGGCAATGCAGCTCAAGTCGGAGGCGCTAACTCAATTTGCCTGCGCGTATAATTGCAGCCGGCTCCGTCGGGTTGTGGGCCAAACTTTTGTTGGCTTAATTGAGGGCATCATTATTCGCCAGGGTTCAAAGCGGTCTATCCCTAATTATAAGTCAAATTAAAGTTGACCCTCGCCACAAGGCATCTTGCTGGGGATCTGCAGGACAAAGAGCATTAACGTTTCATTTAATATTTAGCCAAACTTACTAGGTCACATAAATCAATGCCAAACAACAGGCCGGGGCTCCCATATGAATACTCAAGTGTTTCGCCGAGCAACAAATGGGACAAATTTCCATTTCAAGCCAATGCCGCATAAATGGCACATAATTTACGATATGAACAACGGAGAGGAGCAGCAGGGGCAGCTAACCAAACATGCAGCTAACTATCCAAAGGCTGGTAACAATATTAGTTAGCATGAGCGGCAACAGCAGCAAAAGATACAAAATCACACTTGGAAAAATCACTTCAGGAGAACATCGGGCTCTCTCTGAAAAAAAGTAACGTACAAAATAACATAAAAATTTAAAAATGCCTAGGAACTAAAATTTGTGTGTCCTCAAAAACCAAGAATATATGCTATAATAAAAGGTCGCTTTATAAAAATTTGGCTTATATTTGTAAAGTAAAACATTCCAATATTTAATAGTTAAGAATTTATTAGTTGGTAAATCTATTAACAATTATGTTATCAACGATTGTATTGTGCATTTTTCCTGGGTGTACGACACCATCGGAATCAGAGAGTAAACTTTACATTTGTGTTGGTTGGTTGTTGTTGGGAATACCCGCACCCAAAGCTGGCCGGCGTCAATGTGTGAAGTAATTAATTACAAAGCAACTGATGTGTATCTGTGTGTGGGTGTCCGTATGAGAGGGTGTGCGTGTGAGCCTGGGTTTTGGATTATGATGCATGATCATCTGTGCTGCACGCACACTCGAAACCCAAACCCCACACGCACACGCTGGATCAGATAGGTAATGCTATCCGGACATGTGCACATGTTCATATGTTAGTATGTATACTCCTCTTTCTACCGGCCTGGATTTCCAGTAGCCAAAAATTAAATTGATTTACACCTGAGGTGCGAAAACGGATTGGATGACCAGGCTCAAATGCATTTCAGCACTCGCACAAGGCAACCAAAGACTTTCCCATCGGTTGCCTGACAGACGCGGATTTAAAACGGTTCACTCCAGTAAAAATAGTTAAGTTTCAGGATGTTTTTTAAATAAAATCTTAATAAAAAGTGTATACTTTATATATATTTGAGTTCTAATTAAATTTTCATCCTCAAAATAAATATTTTCATTGGGTTTGTATCAGTTGAGGTAAAGTATCAATAACATTTAAAATAGGCTTATTAAATTATTAAAATCCTGCAAACTTAATATAAATAAAATGTGTAACCAAATAATTATTTAATTTGTAAAAAAATTAAGATAATATCCCACTGCATAGATGTACAAAAATTATAGCTCAACCCCTAATTAAGATGTAAAATGGAAAACTTCGCTTATAATCATAGTTTATGAATGTTTGGTGTGTCTTATTCCTCCTTCCGTCTTCTATGCCCATAAAATTCATATATGATTACGATTCCCATATAAATTCCAGACGCACAATGATTCCGTTTCCTTACGGCTAATCCCCAAGCCGAGTCAAGGGTATTCCACATTAGCACGGCAACTCTAGGCGTTGTCTGCCACTGAGGGCTAATTGTGCGCGTAGCCAAAACCCGTCCTCTCGCTATGAGCACTTCGATTTAAAATTGCGGCGCGGGAGCCTCAAGGATATTTATGAATCCCAAACACGTGACGGAGAATAAAAATCCAGGCGGATCGGGAGTAAGGGGTGCATTTAAATTAATCACAGTAAAAGCGAATTGCCCAACACAATGTAATATCCCGTGCAAGGACCTTTGGGGAACGGAAATCTGTAAACCGTGACGAGACCAAAACCAGAGCCTGTCACTGTATGGGTGGGTGTGTGAGTATGTGTGTGCGTGGGGGGTTTCTCTGTTTGTTTGTGTGCGTGCGGTTGCTCAAATTAAAACAAAGTGTCGTGCGTTTGATGAAAATGTAACGCATTTTGCTCTGCCAGCCAGCGACGCACATAAATGCTAATTGGCTTAAATGTATGCGTGTGTCCTCGTCTGTGTTTGTGTGCGGCGGTATTTCGGTATTTTGGGGAAACGTTTTTCTACCAACCAGGTGTTCAAACTTAAACATTTTATAGTTCGGTTAATTGTCAAAGCAGTGGTGAGAGCAGCCGAAAGTAAAAGGGTGCGCCAAACATTTGATGACTCAATTATTCGATGGTTTTTGTGGTTATGCTGGGGACATGAGGGTTGTAGAGGGGTGTAGAATACACTGCGGGAAAAGCATCCACCAGTTAAAGGGGTTACAACTTAGGTAATCATACCAATTTGCTTTAAAGAGTATAGGTAAATATATTGGAAATTCGTTAAGAACTAAAAATGTGTTATTAACTTTTTTATGACGATATTAGTGTTGGCATGGGAAAGTGTTACAGTGTTTACTGTTACTTTCCTGAAGGAGGTCGGAATCGTTTAGGAAGCTGTCGCACTGATTAGCATGACCTCTACGTGATTCCACCCCCTGAAAAAACTGGGACTGGTAAAAAAAGCGATGAAGAAAATTGAAAACAAGTGAAATAAAGTGATTGGCCATAACATTTGCGCGTACGCGTGCATTTTCCATTCTACGAGCTCGGCTTTTCTATTTCCTTTCGCATTTCTCGACTCGCCTGTGCCTTTGTGTGCCCACAATTCTATGCTATTTTTATGTTTATCTGCTTCACTCCATTACGACTTTATGCTCTTTAGCAGACAATCAACATTGTTGCCACCGCCACCCCCAAAACACCACCCACTTTCCACCCCTGGGGGCTGCTACAAGGGTACCGTTTACAGGGCGGACAATGCCCGTGCGAAAAATGCAAATTGCGAGTGGCGGAATGAAGTGAATGGGGCGTCGAATGATGGAATGAATGAATGAGTGAGTGATTGTTGCTGGGAGCCAGACATTTAGAGGAATTTGCGCTGCGCTGCCTTGATAAATAGCAAACGTTTGGCCTAGCTTCAACATGGACTCCCTCATATGCCATAATTTATGCAAATTAATTTATAAAAATATGTATGTACTTGTACAGCCTTCTATGGACGGGGACATATTTCACGCAAGTGCGACAATTTTCCCGGCAAGTACGTAAATATAGTGCGCCTTAAAGTAGACTCATTTATATGGCTTTATGCTTTATGCGTAATTTCAGGCGCTGACATTTATGATGTATGTTCTCGTATACAGTTGCATTCATAGTAATAGACAATTTAATTCCATAACTCCAAGTCTTCTTAAATATATTTTTGTTTCCTGGGAGATTGTTGTTTCTCATTTCCACTTTGCTTTATTTCTTGAAAAATGTGTTTAATGTAAAAATCATTAAGGTCGAACAAAATACAATTATTTGTATTACCCTTAACATTTTTCATTCGCTTCTATTGTTATGAACACAGCTGTAAATATATTTATGAACCATCAGTTAAGTTGCCGTGACGACTGACGAATGACTGGACTGCCCTGTGGCCTGTGACTGGAAGTCAGACTCAAAGTCAGACAGGTATTCTTTTGCCTGGCTGAAAGTCGTCATGAGAATCGGATTCGACTTTCTTCGCATCTAGTGGGCGACCACAATAAATTCATCCAGAGTGAAAAAATTCAAATTTCTGAGCTTACAAATTTTATTGTCAATAGTCTCTGGAAACAAGTAGAAACTGCGTGAAAATGCCTGAAAAACCAGCAGCGAAGTCACCTCCAAAGACCCTGACCAGCATCAAGGGGTCCAGGCCATCCACTTCCTCATCCAATTCCACCTCCAATAAGAGCCGACCGACTGGAACGGGAGTGGTTCGACCCCCATTGCCCAATACTCATGATAGGGTAAGACCTTCTAGTCACTTGGTAAAAGAGTAAATAAGGAATTCAAGTTCTTAGTAAAACTAATATTGTCTAGAATAGGTTTTTATAATTTATTTATCCACCAAACAGTTTTCTATATTATGTCTAGATTAAGTGTTTCTAGTTTATTTATCCACCAAACTGTTTTTTGTATTTTTTTTAGCTTTTCTTTGCCTATTAATTTTGATTTTTATTATTAAGGAATTCAAAAACTATTAAAAAAGAAAAATGTCCTGTCACTATTTGTTTTATTATTATAGCTAATGTGTGAGCAAAAATTTAAATATTAGTAAAAAACTTTTTTTATATCAGTTACTTTTATAGTAAAAGGGTATATTGTATTCCTGAAAATGTATGTAACAGATAAAATAAATTGTTTCCGACCCTAGAAAGTACCTATATATTCTTGATCACGATCACTAGCCGAGTCGATCTAGCCATGTCATCTGTCTGTCTGTACGTGTGAACGCTGAGATCTCAGAAATATAAAAATTAGAAAGTTGGGATTAGCCATGCAGATTCTTAAGTTTATTTCAGCGGGGCGCCACGCCTCCTGTAACTCCCACAATAATTTGGATTATTCATTTAAGTTGTAAAGCAAAAAGTGGAATTCAAGCAGTGCAATCAGTCTGTTTGCTACATCCAGAGATCTTCCTAACACTTGCTTTAGCGGAGTAACGGGTATCCGATAGTTGAAGTGCTCGACTATGGCGCTCTCTCTTATATTTATTCTAGCAATTTTGTTTATTTTTAAACTTTTTTTAAATTACTTTTCCTAATTTATTTTTTGTATTTTTATAGATTTGGAAGATTATGAAGATGTAAAATCGTGGAACTAATCCAACTTTTATTCGGTAATAACTTCAATACCTAAACCTACATGCATCCTAAAGCTAAATAATTTTAGGTATCTAGCTGCATCAACATTTATAAATCATGACATTATTTTTTATTATAAATGCATTTGATTCAACAAAATCTTGAACTTCAACCGCGCTGAATAAAGCGAAAAAGTCCCAGAAGGGAAATAACTCTTATAATTCCTCGACTTGCTGACTGGAAGTTGTTTAAAGCGCAGGCGCTGGTCTGTAAAGAGAAATAAGGGATATTTATATTGCAGGCTTATTCTCTCTTCCATTCTGTCTTTTTATCTCAGTTTGCCTGAAGCTGGGTTAGAGTAGAAAGTATTTAAGTCAATAAGTGTCTTAAGTGGTATTATTATAACTATAAGAAGCTTATTAAAAATGTCAAGAATCTCTTCTATTCGCCGTTTGAGTGTTCATAGTTGTAATGTTGCAAAGTAACTGCTAGTAATTGGGATATGCCATTATATTACTTTATTGAAGAATTGTAAGGAGAAATAACTGGACAATATAGTGAGCTAAATAAATAAATACAAATCAAAGAAAATTGGTTTATAAATAAAAGAATCAGAGAAACTCAAAAAATGTAAGTGGGGGGAAATAAGTTTTACGTTTTCAAGGCATCCTGCAGGCAAGTTCAGAATGCAAAACAGCTTGGGATAGGCCCACTTCTCCAGTTCCTTAAATGCAATTTAAACCAAAACAAACTCAAACGTCCGAAACTCTCTTTGCCGAACTCGTGGCATTTTTACTTTCATTCGGCAATTGAGTGAAAACGACGCTGGTCCTCCGAAGGAGTCGCACGACGAGCACAAAAGTCCCCGAGATGGAATCGACCGAGCCAAAGGATATTTTGGAGCTCGGCAGCGTTCTTGCCAATGCCGTGGCTCAGTTTCGTATTCGTGTCGGAACGTGGCGCTACGGTCTTCTGCTCAAGGATACGCGAAAAATCCAGTCCGTTGGAGGAGCAAAGCGCGGCGCGTGGAACCCACAAAGCAACAAAGCAAAAAAGCAGCAAAAGCACAACTGATTCGCTCGAGTGTGCCTGTGTGAGAGTGTATGAGTGCGGGAGTATCTGTGTGAGTGGATCGGTCCTGTGCTGTTTGGGGCCGTTTAATTTTATTAGCGCTTCGCGATGCGTCATGAAAATTGCAGGCAAAACGCAGAAATACAATAAATGAAAAATTAAATATTAATTAAATTTTGCATACGAACCGGGCGGCGAGTGCTGCGATTCCGCTGATTGAAATGTTAAATAGATATTAAAAATTGATGGTGTATTTCGGCCTTACAGTCGGTCCTTCTGCGGGATAAGTTGCCCCTCTATATACATACATATTGTATATCGGCATCTTGGCCTTATCGGGTGTGCGTGTATATGACTTTATTAAAATTGTAAATCCCCAACTCGCGCGTGTTTTTACACATTGTTTGTGGACTTTTGCGACCGCTCCAGATTTTCTTCACATTTGTTGTTGCACTTATCGCGATTACCGCACGGAGCGCTCCACCTATATTCCACAACCTGCAACGTCCTCGAAAAGTGCGTATGAAACTGCAAGTTAATTAAGTTTTTGGCCCTGCATATGACAAATCCCGGCTTAAGTCTCCACTTTAATTAATAATACAAGCACGAAGTTCTTTAATGTTTATCGCCTTGTAGTCGATTAAAATGGCTGTAACGGGCGTAAATATATTCATGGAATCTTTCTGCGTGCTGCACTTAATTGCATTTAACTGGCAGTTAATGGCTTTGAGCTGGAAAAATTGGTTACCCACAAGCGAAGGGCTCGTGGATTTGTTTCGACAGTCATTCTATCATAATATCTTTTTATGGAATTTTCCCAATTTAAAGTCTCATTTAGAAAATCTGAATAGGAATAGGGATTACCAGCCAAGCCAATGTATGAAAATATTTCTAAAGCCAGCTCAACAATGTTTTGTAATGAAAAATATTAGATAAAGCTTAAAAAAGTTTATTTTATTTTCGGGAGGAAAAAATACAGCAAGCACAATTCATTTGAAATCAAATTTGCTTAAACAAAGGCACATTTCTTGCTGTTGAAAAAATGATAAAGAAATGGCCAGATACCAGCATTAGACCAAAATTTATGGCCCGACTCCAAAGCAGAGTGGTTCAAGCCAGTTAGTCCAGGCATAAAAGCTCCTTACAACAAGCCAAAGAGTACGCCAAAAATCCGGGCCTAAATTCAACCACACAGATAGGCCGACAGACAATCAGCAAGTGGGCTTATTTGTAAGAGCCGGGGTAAGCATTTTGGCCAGACATTCGGGATCTGCACTTACCTATCTGCGGCAGCAGCACGTTTTATAATATTTATGCATGTCCCTGCCAACAGGAGATGTGCACTCATACTGGGGGTCCGAGGGTTTGAGGGGTTCTAAGGGGTCTTGAGGGGTTTCGGGGGTTTCAGGGGTTAACCAGGGATGAGGGTTAAAAAATAAACCAACAGGCAACGTGGATTTGGAGTGTGTGTAGAGGCACTCTGACATTTGCCAAAAGTAACACTCCAGTCTGAAGTGGGCCAGGGCATTCGAAGCGATGCATATCCGAGTGGTAGGCGCATCCGAGAATTACATTTAAAATTATTTTACTTGGCAGGGGTTAGGGCAAACAAACACAAATACAGGCAAAACAGAAGCCAGGCAACAGATGCCGCAACAACAAAATTAACGAAATAAAAACAAGCCAAGGAAAACAGAACAAGTGCAGCCAAAGAAACACGCACAAAACGGTCGACTTGAGTTGATGTGGGATGGAATTAACCCATTGAGGAATATACATCAGCCGTCGGAGCAGATATACAGATTAAAAAATACTTAATTTTAAAATTAAAAATTTTTTAAAATATTTTTCTGAAAGATTTTTAGATGTCCCGCAAAGTTGCATACCAAATATTAAAATAACTCAAACGAGTCTCAAGTGCTGCATAACTGAAAAATCTGAGCTAATTTCCAAAAATATTTTTTAAAAATAAACGGTAAGAGTTAAAAAAAAAAATAAAAGCCGATCCTTATATTTCAATATTCTATCGGAAAAAAAAGTTTCGATTGATTCTGAGATTTGACCCGAATTGGCCTGTCACGTTTCACGTGGAATGAGCCATATGTATTTTGTAATGATTTTCGCACTTAACTTTTTGTTTTATTTTTCTAAATATTTTTAGAGTTGAAATACATACTAGGGAGTTAAAATTGTTTTTACTTCAAATTGATTTTAAATTATTAAATACTTAAAAGAATAAAACGTTCGTTTTAGTTTTGGGCTCGAAAATTTTTATTTAACTATAGCATAATAATTGGTCTAAGCGTTATTTAAAAATGCTTTTTTTTTTATCACAAATTAGCAAATCTTTGGATATGTATATTAAATTATTTTTATGTATTACGACGTCTATTAAATGGTAAATGGTAAAAACAGAGTCAAAAGTCAGAAAATGTTTTTCAGTTCGTTTGTAAATAATGGGTTAAATGCGAATGGCTGGCAGATAGCTAAGCAGAACATCTCGACGCCCACTTGGCTGTTGGCTTGTTTACACAAGCTCAACATTTTTGACAGTGCCACTCGCAATGAGAGGAACATGTGGAGCAGCTGCGGAAAAAGATTGATCCTTCGCTGCTACGTAGAGAAAAAAGAGAAAAAAGCCGTCCAAGCCATGGCGATTCCCATGGTCCTTGACTTTTCCTTTGAACTATCGCAGTGGCCGAGACCGTTTGTTTTGCTTATTCCCCATTTGTTGCTTGCTTACAGCTGTCCAAATTTATTACGGCCAAAACAAATCGGTAAACTTTCTATGCCAACTTGCAGCAACTTTCACGTTGTGGCCGTGGTACGCAGTGTTTCCCTGTGCATTCGCTCCTTGTTTCGTGTTGGCCTTTTGTCATAAAGCTTAACACATAAAAATGTTATTGTCCGATGTGGAGTTGTGTGGCTTATGCTGATTTGTGTTGACCTAGTAAGCTTGCAGTGCCAATGGCAACGGAGAGAAAAAGAATCGGAAAGAAGTATGGATGTTTTATGGTCGTAAGGCTGATTTAGGATTCCCAAGTGAAAGCTTTAAGGTCTAGAAACTGAAGTGATGTGAGTTAGATGCCGAAAGGCGTTGCATATCTGGGCCCCAATTATTGGGGTGCTCATAAAATCCAGGCTTACATAGAGGGACTGTAAGGGAATGTGGCTGGCATCGCTCCACCTATAAATTTATAGTACTCATTCCGCTCGGCTGAGTTCAGGGAATTTGATCTGCATTGATGTACTTGCTTTTAAAACGACTCAACTGAAAAATAATCAATTTTTTCATAGAAAACAACTTTGGGAATTTGGTCTAATAAAATATATTCCGAGTTTTTTGAATTAATCTAAATCGGGGTTTCAGTTACTTGGTTTAAATTTAAAAATTCGGTTGTTTGGGCTCAGGATGGTTAAATACTCATGCAAATTACATCCAATTTAAAATGTACTATATTGCAAACTTAAAAATAAATCCATTTGGAAATCTCCAGCAAAGCTAATGGAAATTTTATCAGCGTCAAGCTACTCTAAATTACTCATTTGTATTTGATTCACTATTCATTATTATCATTTAAGAAGTTAACATTGAATTGCCTAAACTGTATCACAATGCAAACGTCAGTGTATTATAACGAAAAAAAAAATATCAGGATAATAAGGCTGTATCAGTTTCTTGCTTCCAAAAATGTAAGGCTTCAACTAAGGAATTTAAAAACAAATTACATTTAAGTTTTTAGCAAAGTTTTTTTAAAAAAAAACTTTTTAATAAATATTTTGAGACTTTAAATTTATAAAATTAGTTTAAATATTTTGTACCAACCGTAGCTTTTTAAATGCTGCACAAGTGACAAATTTAAATAAATCGGTTCACAATTGTTTAAGTTATGGTGTCCACCGGCTTCCAAGTCGTATCTTCAGGAAAAGTGCGTCTGAAATTTGTTGTGTAATCTAAACAATTTTTTGTTTGAAAATCCTATGTAACTCTTTAAATGATTAATTTAAATATTCTAATAAAAAAGATAACATATTTACTTATTATTAAGAGAGTTTATTTAACGGTAGAAAAAGACATTAATTTAAAACATTTTAAAGAGCTATATAAATTTAATTCTAGTACTGCGCTGAAATTTGAAATAACAAATTGCAAAGCCTTATTCAATTGAAAGAGTTACTAACTTTAATAATATACCAGAGCTGACGTAATGGCTGGCACTTAACCCTTATCGAGTCCAAAGTTAACCTGTAATTGCGGCACTTGAGCTGTTAACTCCCAATAAGTCCGGGAAAAGCGTTTTGAGGGCTCCGCTCTCATCCGGAATTACACTTCATTTGCCTAACCAAACTGGCCTCCAAAGAGTTTGCCGCCCGGAGTTTGCGCAAAGTTTTAACTCTTATCTGTTGTCTATCAGGAAATTTTATGCGATTTTGTTTACCTATTTTAATGAGAACCGAAAAATGCTCGCACCAAAGCGGCGATGAGCGAAAGGAGACGGAAAGGAAAACACACACAGGCTGGTGGGAAAAGCCCTGGCGAAAAACCAGGTCAAAGCAAACAGAACGAAAGGGCCGAAAATTTATGCAAAACTCAAAAAAACAAAACAAACCGGGAACGGCTGGAAAAAAGGCACGAAAGAACATACATAGGTTCGAATACATATACGATGCAAGGGCCATGTCCGAAATGGGAGTGCGAGTGTGGTGGTGTGTAGTTGTAGGTGTGTAGAAATGGCGTGTATTGTATCAAATTTAAATGCACAACAGTAAAATAATGAATTCTTTTGTTTGTATTTGCATCTGTGCCGTTTGTTGTTGATGGGCGCGTTGGAAGAACCAAAATACAAAACACAAACGAACCAACCCGAACCAAAAAAGCAAAACAATGAAAAACGAAAGAACACACACGTCACTGCTACACAGAAAACAAATTATGCCAAAGGTTAGACTGCAATTTTTTGCGCCCTCGAAATGTTTTAATGGGTTTTAAAAATTAACATCTTTAATATTTTGAAAATTTACATTTTTATATTGTATTAATAAAATTAATTTTACATACACTTTTATTTCTGTTAATTACACAGGAACACAAAATTAAACTTTGTGAAATTTCCACGAACCATTTCAAGTTTTCCATGATATGTGGGTGCTTCTGAGTAAAAGTCCCATACAAAATTATTTTCCATCACCTACAGGTTCCGCGGTACAGCTAAGAATACAAAAAACCGGTGTTTACCGACATTTTGAATTACGTGGCTTATATAATTGGACTAACCTTTATTATTTTACAATAATTATTGTTAACTCAAAAAGAGGTTGCATTTAAATAACTTGGGTTTCCTCAAGGATTTACAACTTTAACTGCCTTTTCAAATGCTTTTTTGATGTGTACTCGTACCAAATAAAGCTCAAGTTCCTGCAGCAAATATATTTACAGCTGCCGAGATGAGAAGGCCAGACGGAAATTAAGCTTATATTGAAATTAATGTGTGTACAGTGAAAAGTTTTTCTGCTCC